CCTTAGTCACACCATGATGTCATCCACAAATTATTGTTTGTTGTTGTGTATCATATGTTAGTATCTGGCAAGTTAGAGGGTTTTGTGAGCTCTCAGATGCAGAATCCTTCAACCGTACCATGATGCCTACCCAAGTTAGCATATGAGTCACAACAGAGTCAGTATTTCATTTAGATAAGGCTCAACAAAGTTAGCATGTCATTTAGATAATGCATAGTATAGTTAGTGCCACATATAGATAATGTGTAGCAGATTCAAATATCAGGGTTAGAGATCCCTATTTCAAAGATAGGACAACTAAGGTGTAAGTAGGTAGCAGTTGACTAGATCATGCATGTACCTACTACTTAGTACCATGTCTCCAACATGCATGGGTTTATGAATTCTTATGCTGCTCTAGAGTAGCGATTATACTACTGGGCTTTGTAAGCTCAGCCTTTGGATGTTTTTCGTTGGTAGGTTAGTAGCATAACTAGTTCGTGGAGCACCGTCGCAGCAAGACTTCCAGCATCTCCTTTAGAGAACTTTGTCATAGCTTTGTGGGCAGACATATTCATAGTACCTTACTTATGTATTCAATTTATTAAACTCAGAGTTGTATTATTTTTATTTAAATTATGCGTCATGGAGCTCTAGTTTTATAAAATGACTTTTATAATAGTATTTAAGTTTTAATTATGGTACCATTCAACATGTTTGAAAAAGAAATGAATAGATTTTGAAAAAAGAAAACAATGACGTTCAAGATGGAGCAGTTTCAAAATTCGACACCAAGCCACGATGAGCAAGCGTCGACCTTGACGGGCCAATCTTTGCCTCGGAGACCTAAAAATACATGGCGATCTAGCATTTCCCGTTGTTCGATTGAAGAACTTATCCCAACTTTCTGATCTATTGCGCACTAGGTCAAGAACAAGATTACAACTAACAAGAAAATTGATAAAAAAAATGGAATGACAACAACGGAAGAAAGATACCATGTTGAAATATTGATGCTCTGGAAAAAAGGTCGGGTATTGTTGAATGCCAATACGTAATGAAATAGAGAAAGGCAATAGATGATAACAATTAAATAGAGAGTATTAGATTTTTTTACTAACTATAGAAAAATGGCTTACAAAATAGATTCTCTTTAACCCATCATAATAGGAGGCTTATATAGTCCATTACGCCGTGCTAACAAATTAACCAAAGTGTAACTATCTAATAACAAAATAACATATATTAACTATTTCTATTAACATTCTAACATAAACAACATCTTTCGATTATATTAATGAGGATGAAAACATTTATAACATATTGATATTTTCACCATACGATAAATAGTTTTTATGATTATGATTTCTTTAATGTCATAAGTAACTATATGTTTTCTAGTAGTTTTTTCCATGCAATTTAGAAGCAATTCTATAATATTTTTGTTGAACATAGTTGTTAACATAAATAAGCCTTTTTTAATCTTTTTAAGTTAGAGTCACTTGCCAGTAAGATGATTGAACGTTCATTGTCAAATGATTGAAAGTATTTCAAACAGATTTATAATCACCTTAACTTAATTAAAAAAAAAGTAATTGATATGCATCATTTATATTGTATTATCCTTATCATTAAGATTGTATTATCCATAAAGTGCATCATTTAGATTTTAGTACAATATCAAAGATACATACATGACATATATAGATAAAAATATAATGGTGAACAACTAGTGATAAACTGATATGCAAAAGAGAACCTAGAGAATCTGGAAAGTATCCAAAGTAGGTGAATGAAAAATCAATCTCCCTTAATTATAGCCCATCCTACCATCACGAGAAGTATTGAGCGAGAACAAAAGAATGATCGTCGAACAGAATTCATAGCCCCGATAAAGGAAAACATGATCAAGGGATAACATAACGAGAAAAAGGGAGATCAGGAATTGGATAGACAACAGAATATATATTTTATGCAGTAGACTCATGGTGAACAAAGAAATAAGTACATATCTAAACAAAAACTAACAACACATATATCCGAAAACTAATGAAATGTCATATAAAAACGAACATAGAAACCATACATCATGAAAACATTCAACTAAGGAATCTCTTAAAATCACATACCAAGAAGAAGACCAATGAAATAAACCTGCACTGGGAGCCTAAAGACGTCGTTATCCATGATATCCTTTACTAGAACAATGGCCAAACACATTATTATAAATGTGTTCAAATATAATTGGAAAAAATCAAATAACATCCTTCTAAAAAAACAGAAATAACAAGAAAGTGAACAAGCATAGCCACCACCGCTGTCCTGGAAGCGAAAACTGCTGATAACTTCTTTATGCAAAATGGTAATTGCACCAGAGAGTTTTGAATGTGTTATAGACAAAACTAACACTACAAGAAATTTCATTTTCAGTGACATTAATAATAGTTACTAAAAGTATCAAATTTAGTCATTAAATATCATTGTGATAAAAATTTTGAGTTGTCAATAATAACCCCGTCACTGTTATATTAGTGACGATTTTAATGAATTTTTTCACAATTACTTATGTTTTTGGTGTTTACGGTTTTTTGACACAGAAAGATTAATAATAGTGACAAAAATTTAAACATTAATATTATCCTTATTAGTGATATATATTTTATCAAAACAAAATTATTAAATTGATTAATTTAAAATTTCATTATGAAATTAATTATAATTATAATAGATACATTTTTAGTTGTATCCATCTTCTTTAGGAACTTACATTGCAATCATTTTCATAGACCAATTTGTTGTTGGTTCCACAATATTTTTTGATAAATTAATACAATACATGACTTTTAGGATGATCGAACCTAAAACCTTCAGGGGAAGAGTGCAACGCCTAACCATTATGCTAAGAAAACAATATTTATTTTTTGGCCTAAAATAATATTTAGGTTAAACTATTTTTTGGAATTAATTTTATTTATTTTATGAAAATATATTAATATAATATTAATTATTATTATTATAATTAAATTAAATGTTCTATGATTTATCGTATGAAATACGTTTGTGGAAGAAAAATATAAAAAATTAATTAGGTTGGTTTTAAAATAAAAATATATAAATATTAAGATTTAAACCTATAACATCAAGTGTCCTTTTGGTGAAAGTCCTAAATTAAGAAACAAGGTACTAATCATTTTTTGAAGAAGAAATTAATCATAGTTGAAGATTAAATGGCACTGTCAAAATTTATAGTGATCAAATAGAAATATGATACAATTATTCACTTCGATAGTGACAATAATAGTTAACGTCACAAATCACCAACTAAAATTAATGACAAAATGTTTTTGTCACAATTTTTACTATCGTGATGTTTTTTTTGACGAACGGAAAATTTTTTGATGAAAATCCTAAATTACGATTTATTTGGGAAAAATTAAATTTTAGTGTTTATTTTGATTAAATTGATATGGAGATGCCATTGCCCATTAGGTTAGGTAGGTTGAACACCTAAAAACGTCTTTTAAACAATTTTTAGAAAAATAAATTTTAAGACAAAAAAACTGGTATGCGCTTATCAAAGATTCATTTTTAAGGATTTATGAGTCAATTACGAGTGGAGAAGGATTAGCACTACCACCACGCCCAAAATTGGTACGTAGTCATTTATACATTGTCGTAAATGGTGGACATCACAAATTCGAATCAATATTTAAATTATGACCCTTTTATTAAACATTGAATAATTTGTTTTGAATTAATTATGAGGGAACATTCCATAATTTGACAAGAAATCACGGGATTTGCATCCTCCAACGGGAAGGCTATGCCATTTTTATCCTTTATACGAGAAATGTCCCCCTCCCCAACGTTATCAAAAAGTACAAATCGAATATAAATTGACTATTGGTAATTTCATAAAAAAATTGTAATTTAAAGAAACATGCATTTCATAATTTGAATTAAAATAAAAATGAATTAATCATTATTAATATAAATAAACTCGATTTATTTCAAATTCATTTTTGTTCGAATATCGTATCAAATTGCACCACTTCAATCAAGTTTTGCTTTTCATACCCATTCTACGATAAATGTTATTGAAAATATATGACTAAAAAAAGATGAATATTAGTATCGAGCATACATGTATTTTACAAATTTAATAAATAATGATTTTTTTTAGAGAAAATGGATCTCACAAATATAATAAAAAAGAAACCTTGACATTTAAATAAAGTGAAGTAAATAAATTAAAATGAAAGTGAACTACAATCCATGATTCACAAATCAAAACTATGGCTAAATCAAAACAGTGGAAGAACAACAAGAGCTAACATGCAATAAACCCATGTTATTTCATATAAAAATAATAAAACTGGAAATAATGACCAAAGCAAAAAAAGGGATAAATTTAGGCACTAAAGTGTAAACTAATCAAATCTAATGAAAGCATACAAACATGACCAAAATGTGAATCTCATAAATTAGCAGTCAAAATCTAAAATATTAACAAAGTAATGGAAAAGAACAACTAAGGACTAAAATGAACTAAAATAAAAAATAGTAGCTAAAACAGAAATAAACAGTGACCAAAATGCATGAAATGTAAGAACAAGAGCTAAATCAGATATAAACGGTGACTAAAATGCATAAGTTGAAAGTATCAGTCAAATTCATAAATGAATAAAGATAATAGAACTAGTTAGTGACTAAACTGTAATAACATAAAATTTAGTGATCAATTTCAAATAAATGACAAAATAACAATGACTAAATTATAATAAAATGAGAGTAGAATACCAAAATCAACGAAAATGAAAGCAGTGTACTTGGTGACTAAAATGCAAAAACTCGACAAAGTTTAGGAGACCTATATGGTGATTTGACCCTAAAACTAGTGACCAAGACATAAAAACACAGTGAAGGTTAATAGACTATAGCGTGATTAACCTTAAAATTTTAATATAAACCTAATTAAATTTTAAAATAACTAAATTAACTAAGCCTCGCCCTTTCCCCTTTTACTCACTTCCTCTCACGCAGTTGACCACTAAAAAACCCAAGGTCATTCTCACTGGCCAAACGCCGACCACCATAAACTGATGGTCCTCACACAGCCCAACCAAAATCAAATCAACGCGTGAAGCCTGAACCGACTTAAAAATATTCAAAACCTCCTTTAACCTTAGCCCAAACTCCTCAGCTGAATCCCAAATGCTTTATATAGGCATCGTTCGTCCCTCCGACCACATCCACGGTGGTCGAGATGCTAAACTGACCTAAACAAACAATGACTCCCCACAGGCGACGCAAAACCACAACAAAGCAAAAGTAAAAAAAATCAATCCCTCAACTGCTGCTTTCTTTTCTACTTTAATTAGAAAATAAAAGAAAGAAAAAAACACATTCAAAAGGAAAGGAAACCTTGGAAATGGGTTTTTGTTTTGTTGTATTGATTTCTTGAAAAAAAGCTGGGAGAGGAGCCTCTCTACACTATTTTTTTTATTCAGGGGATCCTTTACAATGAGTTTGATATGTTTTTATCCATATTTTTGCATATATCTCAAATAATAAAAAATGATGCTGAGTTGGTGGCTGACTGGTGCTGATGTTGAACTTGCGTGGAGTAAGCAGATGGCAGGGCATGGTTAGGAATGGAGGGATGAGGCAGCATCACAGGTGGCATGGCATGGGAGGACAAAAATAGTGATTACAACTGTCCTCTTTATTCGATGCTATAAAAGAGGAATGAAGGAAAGATTTAAAGCACCGTTTTTTGCTTGAACTGCTTAAATTCCCAAGCTACAAGTTCTTCTTCTTATGAACTTTTCACTTTTCTGTTCGGACAAGTTCTTCTCTTTCTTCGATCGAGCCCCCTTTTCTTCGAGTAATTGTTGTTTGTTGATGACATTCTTTTTTTAAGGTAATTTTGATGTTGAAAACGAAACTGCTCATTCACGTTGAACATATCTGGCCACTTTTAGGGAAATTATTTGCTGAAGATGATGTTGTTCCTTCTCGTTGAGGAAATCAGGTCAATCTGAAGATAATTTAGTGTTGAAGATGACACTGTTCATCCATGTTTAAGAGTTTTGGCCGCTTTTAGATGATGTTGTACCTTTTTTTGAGGAAGTCTAGTCATTCTGGAGATAATCTGGTGTTTAAGACAACACTACTCATCCATGTTGGAGAGTTCTAGCAGCTTTTATATGACATTGTTCCTTCTTATTAAGAAAGTTAGGTCAATCTGGAAAACTTGAAGATAACATGGTTCTTTCGCGTTGAGGAAGTATGAATGTTTGAGGATGACACTGCTCCTTCTTATTTAGGAGAATTGGTCGGTGGACAACCTTGTTCTTCGCATTGAGGCCGTCTAGACTTATTTGGATAATTTGGAAACAACATGGTTCCTTCGCATTGAGGAAGTCTAATTGTCTAAGAATGACACTGCTCCTTCACGTTGAAGAGATCTGGTTGGTGGATGACATTGTTCCTTCATGTTGAGGATATCTAGTCGTACTTTGACGGTTTGATTTGACATGGTTCCTTCTTAGTGAGGAAAACTAGTCGTTCTTGAAGGATTGTGAATTTGAAGACAATTTTGTTCCTTCTTGATGAGGAAGTCTAATTGTGTAAAGATTGTTTGACTTTGAAAATGACATTGCTCCTTCATGTTGAGGAGAGCTAATCGTTACTCGGTGTCAAATCTAATTATGGCATTGGTCCTTCTCGTTGAGGAGATCCAATCATAGTTGCCAATGATTGGCTTAAAATGAAATCTTCTTCTTCAACATGGAATTATGAAACAAAGTCTATGCTAACTTTTAATTCCTATCAAATACTCGACATTTGAGTGAAAATAAATGAGTGGAAAGAAATTTGTTTCAAAAGAAGCTGTATCAGGTGAGATAAAATATATTTTCGAGGGAAACAATTTCAAAATTTTCATTTCAAGGGAAAATTGTCTTGAGCGAGACTATATTTTTTTGAGGAAAACAATCTCATGTGAGATCAATTTTGTTTCAAGAAAAAATGTCTCAAACGAGATGAAACTTTAGTTCGAGAGAAACAATCTCAAAAGTGACAGATAGTCTGCTCCTACATGTTGAGGAGATTTAGTTTCCTTTAGAAGATATGATCGTTCACTTCAGGATGTCAAATTTGTGAATGACATTATTCCTTCATGTTGAGGACGTCTAGTCATCACCAAACTTTTCTTTCCTGAAATATCTATAAAAATGAATCATTTATGAATGAATATCTTGGATGTTTTTTATGAATACCAAGATGAAGTTTATTTCATGTATTTGATTTAATTTTTATTTTAATAAAAATGACTTTTTGAATTTTTCCTCATGAGAGGAGAAAATTATCTTGAGAAAAGAAAATTAGATGATGTCCTCGTGAGAGGATAAAAATTGCCTTTAAAAAATTAAAATAAGGATTTCAGGGAAAAATAGTCCTAAGAAAGACTATATTGATGTTCTTAGATGAACAATCTTAAGAAATATGAAATTAGTTTCTCAAAAAAGATTATAAAGGCATACTCACGAGAGGGGAGACAAAGTTTTTTTATTGCATGTTATGATGAATGTATGATGGAAAGGTGCAAATTCATGTGACATGTATGTTTATGTTGATGCATGTTTTCTTTATCAATAGATGCACGAGCAGTTTTCATTCAATTCCTGATTCAGTTGTCTTTATTTTCCACCAGAGTGTACTCTTGCAATTCTTGACTCATGTCAAATACTTATTGCCCCATCAAATTTTTGCCCTGATAAATTTTGGCTTCCCTTTTATGAACTTGTGTAGAAATCCAATAGAGCTTTCATCCTTGCTTTGAAAAGAGAATCCATCATTTCAAGCTTTAGAGACTATGTATGTGCTGCTACTTTATGACAAAAAATCAATAGCCACTGTCTAGAGATAGCCACCTCAGTAATCGATGGGACATCTACGTCTCTGATAAGCCCTACAATACATCCATGCCAAGGATAGTAGTTGGAGCCATAGAGGCAATCAAAATAGAAATTGAAGGTGTTTGCTTAATTGCTAACATCAAATTCAGCTCTCCAAGCTTTGCATTAATTTTTCAAAGTTCTGTCACCCATTTAGTGGAAAGGTAACTTTCCCATTATCCGTTTTTGGTATTGGAGCAGACAGAACAAGACATCCCAATTGGGATTTAGAAACCTCTTATGAACTCAACATTGACTCAACTTCGTAACTACTAGTACATGAAGCGTTTATCATTTTTTTGTGGCTTTAACATTAATGCATGACAAATCATCAATATGATACAAATGTATGTTGTGATGGTTGACAAAACAATCATATATAGTAAGCTTCACTGTCTCTGCTTCACCAGTCTTCAAACCTTTCTGTCTCATTTAAAATAAATGTTTTCTCAATTTAATTATCTTGTATTCCTATATGATATGAGCCTTCAATAATGCCCCAACATTTATCATTTCTTGCTCCAGTAATGATTCTAAGCATGAGCTTCTGTGTTTGAGAGATATGTGTCAACTACCAAGATCTACTATAGAGAGATTGTATTGTTTGAAAATGTTTTTCTTCTTTTATTTTCAAAATTTGAAAAAGATCAAATAAAAGAGTTTTGAAAAATGTTTAATAAAAAATTTTGAAAAAATATTTCCCTTTTCTAGGTTTCAAAATTGAGACAAATCATAAAACAAGATTTAATTTGATATAAAATAATTAATTACATTTTTAATTCTTTAAAAAATATAGCTATTTGACAAGTGTCAAGATTAATGCTATCTTTGAGGTAGGGTTAAGTAAGAAAAGGATAAGATGTTTCGGGTTATTGTCTTTGGATGAGATCTGGTATTCTCATTTCTTTGATGTTCACTGATATGATGGAGTAGCTTCTATTCTCGTCTACTGGAAGTGTTCTCTGATTCTCAGCTCTCATGAGCACATTCGGGTTGTGCGATGTCTTATTAAGGGATTTGTGAGATCCCCTCTTATACAAAATTTGCACAATCTTCATATTCGAGTCATTTTTTAGGTTTTCAACTCCAATCCTCCTTTGGTTTCAGGACGTAATTCAAAATTTTACATCTTGAACCATCTTTATCATTTTTTCTCTATCATGTATTAAATATTTTAGAAAATTCTTTGTAAATAAAAGATTAATCATGATGGGCGGGATGAAATCTGAAGATAATATATTATGTTTAGAAATTCATGTATGATTAAAGAGACTTTTAAGGCACATAATGTAGGCCAGAGCTCACGGTTCTAAAAGAATGGGATAAATATGCCCAAATACATGTTTAAGGGTTATCGAATCAAGGATCAATTCGTTATGTTGTCTTCAGTCTTGTCTTGCTCAGTTTGAATATGCTCGTATGTGTCTTTTATTTCATTATCCCTTCACAAAAGGAGAAAATATATATCCATTCCAGAAGAGGTATCCCTAGGGGGATAGATTTTAAGGATTCATTTTATTCATATGAAAACAATGTATATATATCCTGAAAAGTTATACCCTTGGGGACACAAGGGATATATATTTTCTCCTCTACAGAAGAGGAATTCTTAGGGGATAGATTTTCAAGATTAATTTTATTCATATGAAAACAATGTATTTAGTGCATGATAGAATTATTTCGAATTAATTTCCTTTTTTCTTCTTTTTTTCCTGCTTCTATCATGTCTCAATTGTTTATGCTCATCTTTAGGAAGTTGATTCAAGATGTCCCACATTGTTTCTTCTTGTAGGAAGGTTCATATTCAAGTGAACATCTTATACTCAATGCCTTCAGGTGTTATTAGTAAAAAAATGTCGATTTTGTGTATAAGAAAATGATGGTGTGACTTTATTGGCTCAACGAAAGGTAAGGGTGTGACTTTTTGTGTCTCGAAAAAGATAAAGACAATATTTCAAAGTCCCAAAGAGAAGTAATGTCAAAATTTGGTCTTTTGGCAGTGACCATGAGTTATTACGGGTAATGAATCGGGAGGTTTTATTTTTGGTTTTGGACGGGATAATAAAGGTCTAATCTTGTCATATGTCTAAAATCTATAATTCTTGACGAACTAAAAAAATCTATAATTTATTCGATATTCAAATAACTACAAGATTAAAATTTTCTTCATTGTTTATCCTTAGAAGGTATCATAAGTTCAATCATCAAACAATTTACAAAATG